CGAACTGTGTGGTTGTTGATTGCTTTTAAATTCTTTTGTAGTTGCTTGTTTGTTGTTTCCCCCCTGTCTGTATTCCCTTTCTTTGATTTGTGAGCCACCCTGAGTCCCTCCGGGAATAGGGCGGCATATAAATGCAATAAATCAAATCCAATCTAAATCCAATATGAGACACCAGCATAGTGGTCTTTGCAGACGCTCTCTCTCTCTGTCTCCCTCTCATCCTCCCCCTCTCTCTCTTTCGAAGAGGCCGTCTCTCAAATAATCCACCCCAAGGCACTAAAGGGCTTTAAAGGTAAAAAACCAGCACTTTGAATTGGATGCAGAAGCAAACTGGAAATCAATGGAGCTTCTGGAGCAGAGGTATAATGTGTGGCCGATTCTGTACCAATGGAAGCTTCTGGATAGTCTATCAGGGCAAGCCCCATGTAGATTGCATTAGAGTAGGGCAACTGGGAGGTGACCAGAGCATGAGTGGCCATGAACGGAGCCTCCAGATGTAGGAAGGGATGCAAAACACAAAGATGGGCCAATACCCTCCTTAGCCATGATTGCCACCTGCTCTTTGAGTAGTCATTAGTCCATCCCATCCCCAATCTCAGGTGCCAATCCAGAAGGATGCCATGACTGACAGTATCGAAGGCCCTTGAAAAGCAAGGAAGCATGGCTGCCCAACTGCCATCCTGCTCCTGTCAGAAACCATTCAAAAGCGCAACCAATATTCTTTCCTCCCCATACCCAGGCATGAATCCTGGCTGAAAGGGATCCCGATAACTCGGCAGTGATCTGGAGTTCCCAAGCTGCTGTTAAAAAATCCAGACTTCCACAAGCTGAGATGTTTTAATCTACTACAGAGGTCAGGAACTACGGTATGGCTCTTTTATGACTCGTGGACTTCAACTCCCAGAATTCCTGAGCCAGCCATGTGAGTGCAGAGAAGGTGGTGAGAACATCTGAAATATTGGGGTGGAGGGTGGACACCATTAGATCAGGATTAGAGAGGATTGACCCCCCCAAAAAACCCTACAACTATGCTTTTAGCTGAAGAGTTTGACAAACGACCCTCATTAGGTCAACTAGAACACCTTTATATTCTATAACCGTGATGGCAAACTTTTGACATGCGTACCAGAGGTGGCACGCAGAGTCCTCTTTGTGGGCATGCGCGCTGTCTGTTGCCAGCTGGTCTTCTGGGTTCTGCATGCTGGCCAGCTGGTCTTCTGGGTGCGCCAGAGCACCAGAAAACAGCTGAAAAATGGCCCAAAAAACCGACTGAAAATGGGCCAAAAACCAGCCTGACAACGGCCTAAAAACCAGCCTGAAAACGGCCTAAAAACCAGCCTGAAAACGGCTCAAAAACCAGCCTGAAAACGGCCTAAAAACCAGCCTGAAAACGGC